AAATAAACAAAACATGATCCCGGATACAGGCTTGGACGATCCTGATCGAAGGAACTACCCTGCTTCGTTCCTAACCTAGATCAGATGGCTGTCGAAGCGACCTTAAATATTAGTGCTGTTTGTGGTGTGTCCATCATGCCTGAAAGTACTGGTTAAGCCCGCAAATTTTTGCAGTCAATTTGAGTCTATGAGGATTACTGAAAAATTAGAAGCTCAAGAACACCATAAAGGGGCTAAAAACTGGGCTGGTCATTATCTCGCAACATGTATTGAATTGTTTCAGGCGACAAGAAGTGATGTTTCGACGCAGATAAGGAGCAGAAAGGGTGGACAACTTTACGAGATACGCCTAAAGGCAGGGCTAAACCAGATGTAAAAGCCGCCATTATTTATGCATTAAGCCCATACATCTGGGTTAAGCGGACAGCTTGGACCTTTCCGTAATATGCATACGAGATCATTTGTTTTTTTAACGCAGAATAGTAGTTTGTGCATTAAATCGAGTTCGATATAATGGGCTCTTTACCACCCTGACGAACGACGAAATGCCTTAGCTATTGCGAAGCAAATAAGCTACTTACTGTAACTGGCCCCGTTTCTTGTGACAAATCATTTACATACTTTTTCTGATAAACCACGCCTTCGGAAGTCAGACTCAGGTCTAGAGTAGGCTTCATGTGTTTTCGTTAAAAGGCAAAAAAAAAGGCCTTTCTGGGACTCAATTACCCAGTCACAAGTTCCTGTAAATGCTTCTGGAAAAATGAAATGATGCAACACGTCTTGGAAATAGCATTAATAGCAAATAATAATTATTTTTTCTATTTTTTCAATTATTCAGCAGACATGATCATCATCATCAGTTCCTGCTTAAGTATACCCAGTACCCTTGAGTTGCGCGTGGCTTGCTTCTCAGGATTGTTACGGGCCATTTCTCTTCCTACTAATTTTTGTAGTCGTCCACAACTAGAAGCAAAATGCAATTTCCTTTTAGTAAAGATTGGACAGTAAGAGCACAGAGGCCCTTTTGACGTAGTAGTACGCTGTTCAAAGGACTTAAACAAGATACGTTTTCAGCTTCAACATGTACGATTTTTTTGGCCTCAGACTAAGTTTTGGTTACGTTAAAATCTTACTCTCTATTGATTAGGTAACATCTATTCTAACCTTTCATGTGGTGGTACACAGAGCAATAGTCATAAGACCATTAGCTGTTTTTGCACGCGTTTTTCTATTGAAAACTATTTCGGATTGTGTCTGCTTTGTAAATGGAAACGCAATCGGTTACTATACCTAACTGCAACAAGTCTCAATATTGTGAGAGGACATGACCGTAATACTTTCATTTTTCGCGCCTTAACAGTTATACTTAACTGTGAAAAGTGAACATGTCAAAGCTTATTCACTCATGCTTGTTTTTTTAAGCTATTCATAAGATATTATAATTAAAATATAAAACTATCAGTTCTCGTCACTGACACAACGGCACAATGATCGAATCCTAGGAACATACAGATTTAAAAGGTGCAGAGTGCACTTGAGTGGAATATGTTGTGTATGTCCTTGATCTTGATATTTATTTAAAAGAATCTCTGTTAATGGCACCTTTAAGTAGCACTTAGCTAACAATTTTTTTATTACCATAAGTGCCGAAATCGCTGAGTAACTTGGTACAGCCTATTTTTTAACGTTACTGAATCTAGAAGTACTCGCATGCCAATACGATTTACGATGCCGAACATGGCCGAGCTATAATTTATATATAATACAAGTTAATTGTTTTGAAATTTTTTTTCAGGACGTTTCCCGCTGTAAAAAGCCTTTTGGATTGGCTGACTGCGATGTTTTACTACTATAGCGCAATATTTAATGTGATAAACAAATTTACAATTGAAAATAAACCAAACAGCATTTCTGTATTCAGGCTGTAATAACAGATTTAGATGCATATGTAAGCTTAATTACGCACTAACTTAATTAAATAAATAAATTAAATTAATTAATAATAAAAATAATTGATCTATGTTACAGCTATTGGTGTTCGTATCATTACCTGAAAGCTGAACTGTTTATACAAAGTATACATTGGCTATTATTAGCTATTATTAGCTCGCTTAATTGTTACGAGAGATCAAAAAACGTAAGCTTAAAATTTCTAAGATTTTATGGCTATTTCTTATCCTGGAACAATTCTAGGCATCTCGTGCGATCTGCGTTATTGCGTTTTTACGCCTAGGATTTTTTTCGTTCGCGAGTTGAAAACCTGCAAGCCTTTGCTCGATATGTTTGAGCTCCTGTTTAAGTCGCACCTGATCTCTCCCTGAAAATTATTCACGTCTATATTAACAAAATCTTACTGATACAAATTGAAGTTAGTACCTATAGTTTCACTATTCGATTTGCCTGAACTGACTGAAAACCTGCATGTGCACTATATCAAGGTATATAACGAGTCTGAACATGGACCCGGACAACTTGAAGCCTAGTTTTTTTACAACAATTGAATTGTGTTGGACTAATGAGAAGATGGGCCAAAATCATAGCTAGCAAACACGTTTACTATTATTACTGATCTTTATGTTCAGAATAGCCGCCACTTGAATAGGATTTCGAGGACACTACAAGATCTCTTACCCCTTGCCATGCTTCCTGAAGAGGTGAAATTTTTCCTCTAGCTAAACATTTTCCTTTATTTCCATGATTATGTCAGCTAGGAACTAAATAGGGGCAAGCTTTGTTAATCACAGACTATCTGTATCTACGATAAGCTATTTAGTCCATCGAAGTTAGCTGGTCTGGGTGCTTTGCTTTAGCCAGTTTAAAACTTTTAACAGCTGTGTGTAACTATTTCCGCAGCCAGCATTCTTTGGTTCCACTGTTATCGTGTAATGTCTAATGCTAAACATATCTCTTTTCGTGTGAGTCGTCGCTATCAATTGTTGTGGCTTACTCTCTTTTGCGATCGTCTGCGTCCTGACGCGTGTGCGTTAAGACTACCGCTGCTTTTGCATGTTTGTTTATGCCGCGCTGTCATCACGCAGACGGCAAAATCTTCACCATCGTTGCCAGCATCAGCGGCGAGATACGCCATTGCAAGCAGCTTCTGCTGCCCCTTCCGCTCTGTAGAATAGACGGTATAGGAGCAAATGGCAGCAGGCAAACGATGTCCGTTGTTAGTAACGGTGATAGTGATAGCGGGGCAGCGGCGACACGGCCCTCCATTGTTCTCTTAGAGGAAAGGGCACGCAGTCATCGTACGAGCACCAGCGTGGGGGTGAGTAGAAGCCAGAACCCTCCTCGCCTTCTGGTGAGTAGTAGCAGCAGCAGGAACACCAGCCTACTTACCAAGAAGCCTCCCCAGCTGCTAACTCTCTGCGTGTCAGCCTCGTGTCTCAGTGGCGCTGTGCGTACTGACCCGTCGGCGTAGCAGTAGCGGGATAAAGGCAAGGGGGAGAGCGAGAAGGACTGCGTCGAGCGCCAAGAGGCTGGCGCCAACCGCCTGCATCCGCTTCCCACTGCGGCTTCTCGAAGAGCAGCAGCAGAATCGGTACCGCGACAAACCAGACTCAGCAGGCGACCTACTAAAACAGCAAGATACGGGCGGTGCACAGGGAACCGCTAGCTCAGCTGAAGTGAGTTCGTTGCTATTCACTACCTTCCCTTTTTCCTTAACAGTGGCCAGGCTTCGTGGCTGATTTAGCCGCTGACTGGCTGTCAGAGAGGAAGGGCGATAGGGGAGGTACGCCGCTAGCGTGAGAGGCTGATTCTGCTGTCGCTGCATAGAGTGAACGGCACAGCACACGGCCGAAGTTGGCAGCGACTATTTGACGCGTGCGTCCGTCCGAGGAAGAACGTTTGAAGACCACCGATTAATAAGCAGTTACCACTGAAGGCTTGGACAAGAACGGCTGAGTCGTCAGTGACCACAGAACGATAGCTACTGAACTGTACGTCTAATCTAGTACTTATTGCTGCTTCATGCCATTGACTTAACTACTTTACATTTATGTTGCTGATGCTGTCGTCGTCGTCAACGACAGTTGTCGCTAGCGAATGACGACAACCTATGTGCGACGACCGAAGTGTGGTACTTAGACGGGCCGTGCAATGACTTTACACTCGCACGTCCTGTAGTAGAAGCAATCGTTCGTTATTATTCGTTGTAAAAATATCAGTGTAAAATCACAAACCCTGTTAATAGCGGTTCCGAGATTGGAACTTGACAAGAACTGATCGCCAACGACGAAACACAACCGGCATTTTGTGTGGCTTCTTGTCAACGAGCGACGGTGTCAACAAAACAAGTCCAATTGATCGCAGGATTTGGAAACGAAAAGAGGAGCCTTCGAATAGCAGGTGTAGTGTTCAATGCGCAGGTGATTAAAAACAGGCGAACTAGACAGGGCATCGCGACGATACAGAGCTATAGGAAGATCGTTAAAACCCAACGAAAATATACTGCGTATTGTTGTCCAGGGGCAGAAACTGGTCGTGGTGATAGCGGCGCCGCCGCTGCTCGTTCCAACTATCCCACCTGCGTGCTTTTGGCTACTGTCTTTGATGTAATAATAGTAATCAACGTACAACATTAAATACGGCGTCGCCAGTGCTACGACGAAATCAGCCAGATGTGCTAGATGGTACACGTGTACTATAAAGCAGACATTATCTAACGCTACCTGTTGTCCATTGGATGCTGGTAGTGAGGCAAACGATTGTGAGTGTGACGTGACAGATGAAGTGCGGGAGGCAGTGTGCTTAGTTCTGCACGCATTTACGTGTCTTAGTTCCTCTATACCAGCTGTGTATGAAGTATACCCTGGAAATTTGAGGAATCGTTTAGAAAAATAAAGCAGAGACATCTTGCTGCGCTGTGGGGCACTCCATATTGCCCTGTTTTTTCAGTGTTGTCTACTACAAGGTTGTCGAGACACGTTATTGATAATCGCCAAAGCTACCGCGGTAGCCCCATTCGTCGGATACTGCAACAATGAAGAGTCCAAGTCTGCAATTTCGGCTTCGCAGCCCACCATTGGCTTTATGGGCGTTTGGAACACTGTGTATACTGGCAGCGACACTTCGACTAACGCTAAGTGAGTTTCTACAGTAGGCGTAAATAACTAGCATGATAGTAAAGAGGAGAAAATTTTTCTAATGCCAAAGACTCTAACAAAGAGAGGCTTGACAACATTCGTTGAAAGGCATTACTCCAACGAAACAAATTTACCAGATTCAATTAAAATTAACGTCCCGTATTGTACGTCCTAATGTGCATTTGCGTTGCATCAATCTGGTGGATCTGATTTTGTCAAACAGGAAACTACAGACGGTCTTTGCATGATCCTGTAAAGGTACATGCCTATATTTTATGAAGGAAGGATGCTCGCAAAGCAGGTAACGAGAAGCTCCTACATCGCGCAGCGTTTCCTTATTGTGTAGGAGCTACCTGTCGACTGCGTCCGACTGTGAGCTCTCTCGCAAGACCGATCTTTAGAACGCCAAAGGCCGGTGCACCGGCGGAGGACACTTTGATGTAATAAGATTTTGCATATGTTGCAAATTGTAGACATGAATATTATTCACGCTGCGATATTGGATGGCTAACAAACAGCATATTAAGGCTGCTGGGCAAGATTTAAGCTGTCAACAAAAAGAAGTCTCCTCATTGCCTTTCGAGTTCTACTCAGTTTGGCGATGTCAAGGCTCAAGATCTTATATCGATAAAATACACATATACACGTATATCGGTTTGTACTGTTGATCTCTGTGACGAAACGTAATACTAGTAATCTGGTGTGCTTCTCAAGAGATAGAAGTACGCTTGGAGAAATCTAGTACGCTGATGTCATTAGTGTCCTGTTACGTTGTTTGTCGGTACATTCAATTCGATCGTACTGGGTGAGTTATCTGTTGTATTACTGACTGGGCAATGGGAAGCTACTTGACAAAGATCTTCGAAGAAAACAACAGCATGTGCGCGTTTCAATATGATGATATTTGTACGAAATCAAATTCGTTGTGATGGCAACCGAAACTAGGCGAGCGGCGTTCGGTTGCAACAATCGTATGCAATATGTTCGGCTACAGTGAAAAGTGTAATGTCTTCGAGTTTACATAGAAATAGATTTACCAAATGACAAAACTTTACGATACGAAGCACGCCGCAGACGTTATTGTTGCTATCATCGTAGTGCTGACGGGCCACAAAGGTTCTTGCATGAGGTAGAATTTTGCCTTGAGCTTAACGTCGTAGTTGACGTTCCCTCCATTCACGTCTGTGCGTGTGTTTGAATCCACAACGGAGAATCTGGCTAGCCGTTTGCTACATGGGCTGAAACCGACAAGGAATACGAGCAACACCACGTTCGGAGCGGCGTGTCATACGGAGAAGGCAATCGTCGGCTCTTAACAGTGGCAAATGGAGGCCAACAAGCGACCGATCGTACGGCAGACCACAATCGTGCAACTATCCATGATTTCGCCGCCATATATGATCGGGTTGACGCGTGCAATTGCGTCATGCAGTGTAAGCAGTAGCAGTAACGCTAACTTCGACCAAAGAGGCGTCCGAGAGATGTAGCTCGGCAGCCGAAGAAGCTGCATACTACCAAACTAGTAGTGTTAGAATAACCGGAGACTTGACCACCTGTATTTTCGGTATTAGTCTCCTTCGTTCTTTTTTCGACTTGTGTAGACCATACGAGCATACGAACACGTCCCTATACTTTAACAGAACAGGAAGAGGATACAAGGGTCAAAAGATGTTCAAGCTCGAAGGACAATCGTTAATTCATATATGTATAATTTAACTTACATCTAAATATTTGTTTTGCACGAATGTCGAAATACTCGGCATTTTTAGTTGTTATTTTTAAGTTCTGAGCTGTTACGAATGCGTCAATTGACCTTTTTACTTACATGTGTGTAACTATGTTGAACTGTGAATTATTACTAGTAGTAACTTTTGCCGTTAACAATTTTTATAAAAAAAACGTATCGTATTCTCTATAAGATACAGGAAAAAATGCTCTTTGGCAGCAGTAATTTCGTATTTTGTGGTTTAATTACTATGCAATGAATTTTGCCTCAAATCATTTGAGCGAACATGTGAGAATGATTTACAGCGGTTTGGCAAAGATAGGCCAACCGGGCTGAGTCTGTCTCGTACCCAGAAAGGCAAAGTGGACCTTAAGGATTCGAACAAGACCACTGCCATCGGCAAGCCGATGCTTGCTAATGCATCTCCTTCCTCCATACTTTTTTGCTCCTACGTTACGAGTTGGTGCTGTTTCGCTCGCTTCGTTCTCGAATTGCCCCAGGCAAAAGCAGGATGGCCATGACTATAATGTATGTATACATATGTATAATTTTCTTGCAGCTGTCATCGCCAGCTGAAAAATGCTGATAATAGGCTAGATAGTCAAAAAGAACAATGGTATTTGCCGCGTTTCTATCAAACTAAACTGATCACCTGGTTTAATAGAAAAGTAACCAGACAAAACTGATGACTCAGGAAATTTAGCCCCAAATGGACTCGAAGCGTATGTCGTGACTATATTTTAACATGGAGAAATGATTTGATTGTTAGTATAATAACTGAAGGTAGGATGCTGTTGAATGCATTGAAGAAGGCAATGGCAAATGAACTGACTGAGGTTGGGGAGTTGGCCATTTTGCAAATTACCTGCCAGCGACTGTTTAGTATACCGACGAGAGGACGATTGCTCCCGAAGTGTGCGTCGTTTCAGCGCGTATATCAATTTGTTGCTTTAGAGAGGCAATTGAATATTGTTTCATTCAGATACTGCTGTTGAATCGTTACGAAAGACCGTTGTCATTTAAGGCTTAGACCTTTACGTGCTTAGCAACTATCACAGATCCTCTTGAACTGTTCGTTATATGTAAATGTTTTAGGGTAGCTGAGATATAATAACACATTATTTATCGTTAATGCTTTCTAACCAAACACAGCATGTTGGCAAATTGAATCAATATAGTAAGAAGTAGATAGATGCACATTGAGTGGTGAAATTCATTTTCATAGTATTCGCATACCTACTTGTACTTTCGTTGTCGTGGATGAGTAGCGGTCCTAAGTTAAGCTTCCACAACCTACCCATAGTAGTCTACCAAATAACGATCCCTAACATCTCTGTTTCGATGTGCTAACAAAAGAGCTCTGTTGAGCAAACCCCCATTTGCCCCCACGTTGTGATCCCCCGTCTGCTATCGGTTACAGCGTGGCACGACGAAAAGGGATTGTGCACTGGAGCAAGCACAGGCCAATACTTTGAAAAGTCATCGGCGGGATTGGTGCCAGATCGATACACACATAAATGGCATTATCTTGTTGCCAGCCCTAAAATCGCTGGTGACCAAGAGTATGTACCCCAAGCGATCTCTCGGCGTCGTGGGATGGAGAAGAAACTGGGCGATGGAAAATGGACCAGGCCGAAAGTTGGTGGTTGATGAGACTCACAGAACATTTAAAGCTGTTGTTGTGCAGAAAGTAAACAGGCCACTACGAAGCTGAGCTACGAGTTTCTGAGGAAGGAGGCTCATAGGTCGGTCACTCAGTCGGTTAGTATACAATGTGAGTGAGTCAGTTTCGTGACGTACCCACCCTAGCTTCTTTATTATAATGACTCGATGTGCTACAGGGTGGTTTCCACCCCTTGATCCGTCATTCCCCAGCTGTACTTCTCCATATTTAAACCTAGCGGATTTTGCTTGCTTATGCCGACTACTAACTGGACGGGAAAAATGTGCTCCGATGGGTTGGGCTGATTTGTGTTGACACGCATCTTTCTTGGTGACGCTGGCCCAGACTACGTATGACCAAAAGTATACTAACGATTTTACCATGTACGAAAGGTGTACGTGGTGGAAGGTAAACCCTTTCCGTCCTGTGCATTAAAGTAGAGGCACACAGACGCATCATTAACGCTTAAGATGCCACGCACATGGAACTTGTTCGATGCGGATCCTTTCCGTTCAGTTGGATATCCTCACGGTCAGAATCAGACACTGCAGCCCACGGGGTAACCGGTGAGCGTACTATTCTCCTGGAGTGGAAACAAATGGCGTCTTTAGTTAATCATATTGGCAAGACGACAGGAGCTAGCTGAAACTGAAAATCTGTATTCATCGCAAAAATAACAACTGGACGTACGCGTTCAGTAATGGGTAAACTTCACCACAGTCAAATGAGCATGCTGGAAAGGTTAGGCCATAAGAATGGTCTGTCTCAATGGCAGTTCGTACAAGATACAATACCTTCTATTAATAAAAAAAAAAATGGCGATTCACTCTTTTTTGGCAGCTTAGAATAGTCAGACGACTAATGATTATATTAAGGTTGCGTTGGATATTAGGGCGTCCAGAACTAATGACTCACTGATCCGCTAGAACACAATTCCTTGTTATTAGATCAGGTTACCTAGTTTCGTATATTGAGTGAGTATAACTTTTGGTCATGCGATAAATATGTATGATTGTAAATTCCTTTATGGCATACCACGAGCTGTGAACGTACGCATATTACGGTGTCAGTCTAGATATCTTACAACGGTAATTACGGTTCGTGGCGAAACGCGCGTGCCGAATGGCAAATTTCGACTTCCCTCCATCCCTAATGTTAACTACGCCAAAAATAGTTCGATCTTGAATGGTGACATCGTGGCTAACGTCTCCCTTTTTCACTATATATATATAAAAGAATAGGGAAATATTGTACTCTGAAAATAACTGTCAGAGAAAATGAGAACGATACGCTTATTGAGGTACGCGACACGGATAGGGACAAATAAATTGCGAACCCACGGCAGCTTGTACAACGAAATCAAGGTGTGCCTTGTAGACTGCCATTCCAAACAATTTTGATTGTAGATCGAGCTACGGTGGCGTTTAAAAGCAACGTGATCCCGGTCGGATATTTCCTTCGACGGCTAGATAATAGGAACATTCAAAAGCACTTAATCGATCAATGATGTGGGGGGCGAGCATTGGGTAAAGAAGCTGTCTTTGATCCATAAATACTTATTGCCTGATCGGGAGGTGATGCTTTTGGAGGTGAACCTCTGCCAGCGGTTGGAGACTCTTCAGCACAATGATAGATACGAATTTATTCATGAAGCGTGCCCTAGAGGGACAAAGCGAAAAGGAGGAGCCTGACTCTCTGGACGTAGCAGGGTCTGTGTCCTGTGTCTCTTTCATGTGCTATGGGCACTCACGCAGCTTCGTGAAGTCATAGAGTGAACGTATAAGTAAGCTCGTTAGTCAACATTTACCGAAATAAGACAAATCTATAACAGAGATAGTAATTGTCATAAGTTCGATAACTTCTTTATATTATCAATAAACGATCACAAATGCCAAGCTGAAATTATAAACCAGTAACTTGATGCTTGGGCGGCTCGAACAACCGTCTGTCTGCATGGCTAACGTATATGCGTATCATTACGCTATCAATAATATGTGTCTTAGCGTAGCTGAATAACTTACATTTTGAATATAGCAAAAACGAACATATAAGCTTTCGTTGCTACGCTTCAACTTTACGTCATAAACTTTATAGGTTGGATCACGAATAGAAATACTTTTAACGAAAACAGTTTCGTCCATAGTTTGAAACACTGATAGGTCTTATTGCGTTTCTGTAAGACGTGTATTCTTCCAGAGGTTCCATGAATGAATCACATCAGCCGATGAACTTCATAATCAAACAACAGTTCTGTACGATAGAACTAACTTATTATTTGTATCCAATAATCGATAACTTCTTTTTCTTACGCTATTATAAACGAATCACAGTACACATTCGAATCAGACCAATATCATTCATGATCGATAGATTCAAAGGATTCCTTTCTAAGCTCCAAAACACCTATAAACTTTTGCCAAACGCATACATATCTTCATTAGAATTTTGGAAGGTGAGTCTACAGTCAACAAATAAGAGTCTTCGTGCAACGTTTGAAATTTGTCACCCGATTGTCTCTAGCTAATATACTATCCATTACGGGCGTATACTACTAGGAAAGTAAAGATTTCTCGTAGGAAGTTCGAGTGGCCTTTGTATATTGATGAGCTGCATATAGCGGTTCCTTTCTAATATTTGTTAGGTTACTGTTAATCAGAGGGAAATAGGTCAACTGTTTTGGCTTCTTATATGAACATTGATTGGATGAAGGATCCTCTTTCCTAAGAGGGTTACTACCTGAACGGTGCTTAACCGCATGATGGCGGAACATAGTTGCTACCGAAACTAATTTCGCTTACGGAAGCGACCTCTTTCAAGCCTTAATCATATAATGTACCAATAAAAAGATGTCTACCTTTATGTTGTATTGTACATTGAAATTATTCATAATGTCATGCGGGACCGTCGACACAGCGTTCATGTGAAACTCAGATAAAAACAGGGCTGCTAATTCTCTAATCCTAAGCAAGAAGTCGGAAGACGCAATTTTTTTTTTTGCTTACGGATGAGAGGCAGAGGGGCGAATCAGGTAAGAGCTATGCTAAGTTATTTGCAGTTTTCAGTAGAAAAGCACAACAAATCCTAACTATAAAATATCGTATGGTTTACAAAGTTTAAGATAAAAGGACGCGTGGATATTTCCTAACGATAGAAGAACTTGCTGACTTAACAGGCCTCGATCAATGACTACTGTTTCTCATGAATTATTTTTTTGCCCAGTCATCAATACAAGGCACATAGACCACCCTGCGTTCCGAAACAGTCCTAAATAGGGTCATAAGCTGCGAGCGAAATCTGCTTTGATTTTATTTATTAGCGTAGTCCCAGGTTCACCATTTCGTATAGTAACAATAATCTTAAGGGTTTGTTAGCCTTGAAATTTTGGTTTCTTCTGCGTTGTTCGACTTCTGCATGAACTGGTCGAATCGAACCATGGTGCCGAGCTGCAAGCAAATCGCTTCGCGACTTACCTCGGTTCGACTCATCCAGTGTTGACATCCCGAAAAAAAGATCAAAACACCGTGCTTAAATCGGTAGATTTCGACAAAACAGTGGCGATGCTGGGGGCTGCTGCATAATTGGCACTGGGGTACGTCTGCATGCGAACCATGATCGTCTTGACCGTCGTTTCGAGCACATGCAATGGCCCCCGTGTCTAATTGGGTTGATTCCCATTTGGTGGAACTAGTGGGATAGTATTTGTCTAAATCAGTGGACCGTTGACACAGTTCTGCATCTCTAGCAATGCGCGTAAGTGATCCTTTTCGCTTAGATAGCGACCCGCTCCTGTCGATTCATACTTTCTGACGCCATTACGGAATGGAATCATCCGATAGTACGATTCACGTTCAGGCGTATGTAGGACCAGAATGGGTCGTTGTAACTACCAAAGTTGCGGAAAAATCGCTAAAAATAGTATTGGTAAAGCGGCCAGTGAGGCCATTGGAGATTGATGTACGAGTCCATTTGCTTCATATATATCGTAGCGGTGCGCTAAACGATAAAATCACAGAATGTGTTAATGTGCTTAGTGATCACTTGATTTCCGTAAAAACATAGTTTTAATTTGCCAATCATTGCCTCTCGGTAGGAGCCGAGCCAGCTATTTTACTGCTACTTTTACTGCTTTACATGAGATAATCCATCAATAACTGAAGAGCAGAACGTTCTGCCGATATTGAGACTTCGGCATATTATTATCATTTCAGGTAACTAATAACTTGTTCGAATCGGTGAACGAGCACGAGTCCTGTTAGGAGCGCCATCGAATATACTGCTCGTTCGATATGTGACACGGTCTTGTAGGGGCTAACGGACGTTTCTCGTAGTCTCAAGAGCATAAGTTGTTTTTCTGTAAGCCCATATGTATGGGTCAATAACAGAGTGTATTTAGAAACAAGATTGCCCAAGATCGTCTTGGAAAGGGTCGAGCCTTACAACATATTGAGCAAACTACGTCCTGCCCTAAGAAAAGCGTTTCTGGATTTGGCCTTTCATTTTCCATCGTTGAAGACAATTCGCTTTGTTGTCGAAATATGTAGTCAAAAATAAAGGCTAGAAAAGTGATCCCACTATGATAACAATGAAAGATTGCGTGCTACTTTGTTTGTCCAATCAAACAGTATGAAGGATATATTTAAAAACAAGTTGTGTGTTGTACCTGTTTGTTTTCGATAACCTTTGTTGAATCTGAAATATCCAAAATTACAGCGATATAACTTATCGTATTGGTAAATTTTTCTCGTAAGTTGTTACCACTGGGGTGATGATTGCCAACATTTAACCAAATACCTTTTTTTCACCTGATAACAACAGCCGTTGTAATTCCACGACGGTCAGGTCTAGGACACGGTGCCATTGTTCCAAAGCGTTGCATAGGAATTCAAGCGAACTTCACGGAGCAAGGCATGTTAGCGTCAAGACACTCGTCATTGTTCTCAGATCCATAAGCGCCCTCTGTAGGCTTTTATTATTACAGATAAAACAGAGGTATAAACAAAAATCTGTTCTGCCAGTGTCGAACGGCTGCCGTAGCGATTAGATGAAGTATGAGACGGATCACGCTGCAAGTTTCCGTCGTCAGAGTAGATTTTCTGAAACTCATTGACTTA